GCCAGGCCGTCGTCGTCCTCGGGCGTGTCTTCGTCGCTGGCGCGGCGCGACGGCGCCTCCGAGTTGACCTCGTCGATGGTGGGCAGCCCCCAGTGCAGGCGGGCGTCGGGGGCGCGCGGCGGGGCGTCGGGGCGGGGGCGGGGCCGGGCGACGGGGCGGGTCGCTCCGCAGCGGCAGCCTCCCGCCGCGCGCCACGTCCTGCGGTCGCGCCTGCTCCTTGGAGTAGTCCGAGTCGGGCAGCGTCACGTAGCTGTGCGTCGGCCCGTTCGCTGGAGGCGGGCGTGTGCGAGCCGGAAAGCGATCCACGGGGCGCCTCGCCCGCCGCCGCCCGCCCCGTCCGACGAAGCGCCGCCCGTCCGCGTCGCTGTCGACCGCCGGCGAGGAGGGCTGGCTCGAAGGCGGAGAGTCCCGCGCGCGCGGCGAGCGGCTGGCAGTCGGTCCACGGGTTCCATCGCCGTGGGGGCGTACCCTCTTCGCTGCACCCCGGGAAGCGCGTGGGGGGAGACGAGGGCCCGGGGCCGGGGCTGGCGCTGCGGGCGCGCGGGCTCTGCGGCCGGGGGGCGGGGCCGGGGGCCGGTGGGGGCACGTGGGCGGGCAGGCCGCTGCGGGCGGGGCGTAGGCCGCGCACGTCAAGGCTGCCCCGGCCAGTCGTCTTGAGTGCGCTGCGGCGACAGGCCGTGCTCTACGTCGTGCGCACCGATGTGCGCCGTCACGTAGACTGCGCGGTGGCCGCGGGCGCGCGCTGGTCCTTGGGTTTCGGGGAGACGGTGAGGTAGAAGTGCCGGGGGCCGGCGCTCGGCGGCGCCCGGCGGAATGCTCGGGATCTGCGCGAGGTGGCTGCCGTCCCAGAAGAAGAACGTGGCCCCCCTGCCCGCCCCGTCTGTCCCCGCGTACCGTTGCGGCGGCGGCGACGCGGCTGCTGTGGCGGGGGAGGCGCGGCGGGCGGCGGCTGGTCGGGCTGCGGCGCCCGGGCGGGGGCTGCTCGGCTTGCTGCTGCAGCAGGCGCTCCAGGCTGGAGATGCGCGCCTCCTGGCGCGTGCGCTGCGCCTGGCTGCGCTCCTGCTGCTCCTCCAGCTGCTGCACCAGCGCCTGCAGCTCGGCCGCCTGGGCGCGCTGCGCCTCCACCGCCTCCTGCGCCCGCCGCACCTCCTCCGCCTTCGCCGACACCTCGTCCCGCAGCTGCGCACCGCGCGCGCGCACGCTCGCTCACGGCCTGCCCCTCCGGGTCATTTACCTTATTCTCCAATCCTTGACTAGTTAATTTCAGTAGTACTTCTGTTCTGTGGTGACAAACGTCTCTTGCCCGTATACCGTCCCCCTAAACTATATTTTATCCCAAAACAAAGCTTGGCGAACATACTATTTTAAATAATGCCTGAAACAATTGACTGAAATGGTTTCCGGTACTCTGTTTTTGAAATGGTGAAAAGTTCAAATGAACAGCTAATTATACTGCTTTTTTAAAAATGTTCTCGTAATTTCGTTTCCGATGTTGTTAATTATTTTTTTGTTCTCAGAGTAGAATTTGGACTTATCATATGAACTTAGACAAAAAGTAGTGTAAATAATAAGCACGCTAGGAAAGCAACAGCATCTGTAGGTCAACCTTAAAGAAATTATCTTAAAGTAGGTATTTTAACCAATGACTAGACGCACAATGCAAAGAATGGTAGGGCAGGGCCCAATGTCGCAGAGCGTGGCAGCGCGGGGCAGATTAAGGGGTGGCAAGGTGAGGCTGGGCGGATGGAACAAGGCAGGGACGCGGCCAAGCAGGTCACGGTAGGTCAGAGCGGAGCAAGGTAGTATACAGTGGGAATAGAGTACTCATGAATTAATTTTGAGAACTCGCGGATGGAGACTAATTCTTACCTTCACTGTTCAACTCGTGCAGATTTTATGTAATGACGGCGAAATACTTTTTTAAATTATTTCCGAATGTATAATCCGGCGTTCAGAGAATTGCTATCCAAGTTACATCATTATATTATACGGTAACATTCCTCTGAAAGGTGTGCTATACCTCAAGAAGAAATGCTTGCAGTGCACTTTATTAATTAATCTTTCAATTTTACGAATGAAAAACCATATACGTTCGTTCAACGTGGTTCAGCGTACGTATAACGTACGACGCCAGTGCTCCGTGTGGGAGCCTGCTATGCGACGAACGTTCTTGTCGGCGGACGTCACAGCAGCGCACTAGTGTGCCACGGCCTACGCCTACGCGTCGCTACAGTGCTACGACAGATACATATTACAATCCGTCATTTGACGCTCGTGTGTGTGTGTGTGTGTGTGTGTGTGTGTGTGTGTGTGTGTGTGAGTGTGAGTCGTAGCCTAACGTACATTGCCTTCTATGCGACAGACGTCGACGCGCCAGTGTGGCACACTGCAGCGCGCTTGTGTGCCAGGCCCGATACGACTCCCTGACGCGCTACGAAGGACGTAATTGAACCTCAGTCATTTGACGTTCGTGTGTCTCTAACGTCCATTGGCTTCTACGCGACGGACGTTGTTGTCGACGCGCACGTCCCAAACGCGACCCTGCTGCGCCACGACGGCCGCCGTCGAACGTCCGTCGCTAAGCCTCCAGAGGCTCGCCTTGTCGGTGTCGTCGTCGCGGCGCGCGAGGGCGTCGCGCAGCGCCTCCAGCGCGTCCTCCTGGCGCTGCTCCTTGCCCTTGAGCAGCACGATGAGCTCGTCGCGCACCTTGAGCACCTTGGCCTGCTCGCGCATGACGCGCTCGCGCTGCTCCACCTCCTGCTGCTTCTGCACCACCGCGCGCTCCAGCTCATCGTTGTGGCGCACCACCTCCTTCAGCGCGTTCTGCAGCTCCCCCACCTGCGCACCGAACGACGCCTTGCTCCTCCCCCTCCGCCGGGTACCAGTAGCTCAGAGGCAGCATTGTGGCCGCATTGATGCCCGGGAGGATCTTAGAGTCTGAATTACAACTGTGAAGGATTTTCGCCACTTCTGATTCGAATTCAACTATCGCCTGGCGGAGAATTCTAGCGCCCTGCTTTTCTGATCAGTAAATGTCTTTCATTAATACCAGGCGAATACTGAAGCAGTACTTTACAAATTGGTCACGCACCTTGAGCGATCTTTCCGTCAATTTCCTTGTCTTATTAACTCCCCCCCCCACACAAACTTACATGCACTACACTCACCCAGTAGAGAGCTTAGGGCTTGGCCCTGCTGAGGCGGTACCCTGATTGGGAGTAGGTAGGATTGGGAAAGGGTACCGCCCGGAGAGAGATCGCTTTAAGCTAACGTGGAGGTTGGTAATGCATCTCGTGTACTAGCAACAAGTAACAGTGCCACTTCATGCGAGAATAATGGCAATATTTATTCACAAAATATAAACCACGTACGTGGTACATGCTACGTTGTTTATGAGAAGCGGCGGGTGTGTACGATAATAACTGAACCGAAGACAAGTAGTTACAGACCATGTGACTTGTCTCTCCCCGAAATTCACTATCACGTGTAGCTTTGAGCGTGTCCTAATTGGGACAGTGTACCGCTGGATGCGATATCTGGAGCAGGAAAACGCTTGCAAGCTGAAGTGGAGTTTGCGCCAAATCGCACCAGTGGGGGAGGAATACTGCCGGTTCGGGGGATGTTACGTGCAATATGCATATGGGAATAATGTCCTAAAATGTTGACTTGTCCGATATCACAACTTACTCATCCCGATATATTGCAATATCTTCAAAAAAAGAAATCGACAGATTTAGACCGACGTATAGCTCCGCGCAGCGTAGAGCACTCGATAGCAATCTCTACTTTCTACGGCTCGGCAACTCGAACTGATATAGAGCGGTCGAGATATTGCTGTACGCCTCGCTGTGCTTATAGCCCCAATTGAAACAGAAGTAACGATGTTGGTTGGGAAGGAGGATGGGCTACCTCGCTGCCCCCTAGCACGCGTCGTGGGGGGGGGGGGGAGAAGGAGGTACCTTCTTCTGGAAGTCCAAGTGCTGCTGCTGCAGCGCCTTCTCGAGCGGGCGCGTGGTGCGCGCGGCCGCCAGCTGTCGCTCCAGCTGCGCCACGCGCTCGCGCTGCGCCTGCGCCTGCGCGCGCGCCTCGCGCAGGTCGCGCAGCGCCGCCTCCTTCGCCGCCAGCTCCGCGCTCAGCCCCGCGCTCAGCTCCGCGCTGCGCTCGGCGCTGCGCTTCTGCGTCTCCTCGCGCTCGCGCTGCCGCCGCGACCCGCGCGATTATTTCGTTATTCCGAACGCGTCAACGGCATTAGGCGCGTAAGTTTTTATCACGGATCAATGCTTTCAACGGTTGCATAGGCCAGCTGTGTTCCCCGCTATTTGCTACTACCTTAGCACGGCACTTGGGCGGATATTTTGACGTTCAAAGGTCTAATGTGTGATTTGTAAGCTTATAATGAATCTAAATTTTAAACATATTACTGTTGCCCAGATCATTCACTTTGACGTAGAAAGTTGCATACATATTTCATTAAAATACTTGATTTAAGTTTTGATTCATTACAAACTAAGCTTTATTAGTCAGTCTGATGAATCAACCCCTAACGACTCACGTACATGCCGGAAAGACAGTATAGTAATATCCAGAATTTCATCAATGCCCTCAAAGCTTCATTGAAAAAATCAAAACCCCCTGTTTGTACTAGATTCCGTCCACAGTATACTAGAGGGAACTGACTGAATTGTTGCAATCTATTTGTTTTATCGCAAGGAATCGGATGTGCCGCTGTAGGTGCCGTACGGCTCCTAAACGTGTTTTAGTGGCTTAAAACGCTTCCTCAAGAAACACGTTTTAGAGACAATTTTTGAAATCTTCTCGATTCATCCAAAATATTCCCCACTAAGAGATCAAGGTGCATCGATTGACACCTCATATCTTTAGTGGTGAACCGGAGGGGATCTAACCACGAACGACGGACATTCGCAGGTTACTCGATAACTGTATAAGGATTAAGTTGTCTCTACGTGAAAAGGTGATGACAAGTGAATGTCCGCTCACCTGCCGCGCCTCCAGCTTGCGCACGGCCTCCTCCTGGTGGAGGCGCTCCTCCTCCAGGTCCGTCACCTTCTGCAGCGTGTCGCGCAGCTGCTGCTGCATGCCCTCGAGCTCTTGCGCCAGCGCCAACGCCGCGGCGCCCTCTGCGCACACGAGGCCGCAATCGCTGGCTGCAACTCGCCCCATGCCGCCGCCACGGCTGCTGCCTACGCTCTACCACTCTACCACAAGCCTGCTCCACTCAGTGGCTCCGTGGGCCACCCCGAGCACATGCCGGTGCGGGGACTCAGAAATTTTCTCGCACAGATGCGTTGTCGTGGAGGGGATGATCGCTACTCGGCCGTCAGAGGAAATGGTTTCAAAAGGGGAGTGTGTGGCGGTTGAACGTCTAACAGCTATCGGCTCTGAAGCGTATGACTTCCCTCCCCATCACAAATGACCCTCTCCCCACGATAACTCCCGTCGCAGCTCGAAACAGCCCCGAGCCAGCTCGGGCATCCGCGTCCATCTGTAGCAAGTTTAGCAGGCCTCTCTACTCCATTCCGCCATATCCTAGCCTATTCTGCATAATCGCGAATCACCCTAATAATGGTGCTACAACAAAACATACTTTCTCGTAAGGGCTCACCAACTTTGACTGCAGTGAGGAGATGATTTGGATCCGTGCTTCCCGAGTGGCTCCCCCTTGGCCCTAGGCTTTGTCGTTGCAAGATATGATACTCATGGATTTTGGGTGGGTGGTGGTCTACGTCCTGATGCAGTGAGTGGCGTAAAACATATATGTCCCCACCTGGAAAGCTGGTAAGCGTCGAGCTGGCGACGTAGTCCCACTCAGGTTATGTGTAGATGTGTGCGCATTGCATTCCGGAATATCCGTATACTAGCTCAAAGGTGCAGTTCCACTCTCGCGGGAGATATAGCGAGGAACTATGCCCAGCTGCCCACCCAGGGGATGTAAAACTCTACTGGTAAAGTACAAGTGTGTGGAATGGTAGATTTCGCACTCCATTAATAGAGTCAACCTCATCAACGCACCCACTGCCGACCCCACACAACCCTCGCCCCCACACAAACCTCGCAAACCCAACCCAACTCTACCCAAATCTTCTCAACCCCCCTCTCTTTTATCCCCCCAATCCTCGCCCAATTCACACCCAACTCCGCCCAATCAAACCCTGCCAACCCTTCCAGTCAGTAACGGCGCGAGCTTTTAAGCACAGAGGGTAAAAAATCGCAAGAGAGATAATCTTCAGAGTATTTCATCCCCATTATCTAAGATAATGTAATTAATGACAACAAAAGGCAATTTGCAAAGTTTATAATTGAAGTAAATTATTTTTAAATAATAAATTATAAGGTATTTTAAGTACCTTAAGTACTTGTAATATTCCTGGCTGATGCAGATATAACAACAGCAGTGGTGCTTGAATTAAAAACCTACTTTTGATCGCGAATCTATCGATAACGTTGTTGTTAAAGACCCTAATTTTATTCATTTCTTTATCAACAGATAACACAGCCAGCTCACCCACGAAAAACTTACAAAGAGTTTCCACGAAATTTCATTGGGTTCTCAAACCACTGAAACCCCTAGAGGAGTCACCACTGCTGCTGACCCCACCCCAATCCCATCCTACTCGTCTTTCTTCAACTCTACCATGCCTCACCACATCCTACCCAACTTCATCCTATTATATTTTATCCCGAATAAGCTAAATTAATGGATATATATTTTTTAAACGATAGATAATTTTATCTGAAGTGGTTGAAATCCAATTTAATAGAAACTAGATTGTATAATATATTTCAGGGTGAAATACATTAAGGGTCTGCTATATTTTTGGAGACATTATTATTATTATTATTGGAATTATTATTTTATAATTAATAATAATAATTCCATCTTTTTTTAGGTCACACAATAGCGGATATGTGGTACAGAGATTACGTTCATGCGTTTTTCCTCTATTTAGGTAGTTTAAGTTGTAAAACGTCACTGCCGCTGGGAGTGTGAGGGCGTGCCCTTGACGTACCGTCGGGGGAGCTAGCTGCTGACGGCGGGAACTCCGTCGCCCGCGACGCTCTCTCCTCCAGCTCCGCGGTCCGCTCTCTCTCCCTCTCCAGTTCCTTCTGGACTGTCCTCCTGCACACACCGCCGAGACATCCAAACGAAGTTTGAACGGGTTTGAATAAATTGCTCTGTTAGTGGCCAAATTTCTTCAAGCGTATAAGACACATTTTTAAACTTCGGAACTCAGTGTTGAATCCTAAGTGTAAAAAAAGAAAATGATAGTGGCTGCAATTCTAGGGGTATTATATTATTTCTACTGCTCCGTTGTCTTTATTTCATTTGTTATTCTTAAGCTGATTTCCTCAGTGAGTCACAAAATAAGATAAGAGGCTCTCGTCGTCGTCAGTTATTTTGTAGCTACGTGCGGTGTCGTATATTCGTAAGCTATTCGTGCTAAATGCTTCTCAACACAATTATCCTGATTGTTCAAAAATATGCTCCATAGATAAACAGCGATGGCATGTGACGCCTAGTGATTAAGAAGACATGGAAGAAATCGGTTAGGTGGAAAGTTTCAAGACTGGATAATCTGCTCAACTTTTACATTAATTTACTAATTAAAAACGCCTCAATAACTGTACATGACGAATAAGGAGGAGTGAAAAATCTGATTTTGCATTGCTACTACATAAGTGCTTATTTAATGTTTCATCTGTAATGTTTTTTATTATTATTATATTTATTCCTACTACTTCTACAAAATTATGTCAATTATGTTGTCATAATATAAAAATATGATCGATAAAACATCGTCGCATTTTTCAGATCTTACGTCAGTTACAGCTTGAAAGAGTTTTTTTTACTTCCTCAGAAATGTATGTGGCAATGGTTCTCTATATTCACTGTTGTAGACTAATTAAAATACTTATTCCCAATTAGAAGAGAATTCTAGTTCAATACAAACTATTGCAAGAGTCCAACCCTTTAACTGTTGCATTTTACTCTGACTCTTACACTTAACAAACTTACCTTAAGTCTCTTTCTTTTTCTAGCTGTCTTTCCATTTCCTCTCTTAGTTCGGTCATCTGACTTAGCGCGTTCGCGTCGCCACCGTCTTTGCCCGCCAATAGCGCTCCCAGATCTTGTACCCTGAAACAACATTGACGACATCGTCACGCACCGTACTTTTGAAGTGACTCCTTTACACACGTTGTTGTAAGTGGGAGTTTGGATTACTAAAAATTGGACTTCAAGTATGACAATTATTATAAGAAGCTTTTTGTCATTTCCAAACTGTGTTGCAAAATGTAACAAAACATAAATAAGTAATATTCAATTAATAACGAAAGAGATTTGTTAAACATATTAGATTACTTACTAAATTTTCATTCCTTTTTTCCGAGTTTTGCCGTTTATTTTAGAAACAGTTGTAAGAATTTAAAATTACGCCCTAATTTCCTACAACTAATGTTGCTAGTTTACTTTAATATCATGATGGGAGATAATTTCTTTTAAATATAATAAAATCATTGCAATTAGAACATGTGTGCAAAATGTTCTATTATTTATTTTTTTTAATAAAGTTAATGGAGATGTTTTCTAGAGTATCATAAAAAGAAGCAAACATTCAATCAAACCTTTTCCAGACTTTGCATGGATTATACTCTTTAAAACTATCTCACAAGACATATCTTTAAAATTCCAATATTTCTTTAAGCAAACATTTGACTTCAAATTTTTAATTCTAAAAGAAGTTATAGTCATTTTGACAATAGAACATTTCCTGGGGAATACTTTTGGGGCCAAAAATGTCGCGATATTTGCTTCTTTTTAGAGCACTTTTCTATATCTGTTAATTTGTCGAATCTATCTATTAAAAAGTACGTACGGCCTCGCAGATTCCGCATACGGCAGTGGAGATCTTTCCCAGGAAGGCTGCGCAACTTCCGATTACCCGTAGTTTGCTATGAGCATCTGTCAGCCTAGAAGCAGCCCACACAAATGTACTGATCACGACAAATCCAAGAACCAAATTTATGTAGACGTGAAAGGACTCAAACCACGACATTTCCGGCCCAGAAATTTGTTTGCTTCTTTTTAATTATTTATATAATCAATGGAAAAAATATGTATTCAAAATGAGAGAATTTTTAGGAATAAATATAATACAATCATATTTAAAGCGAATAAATTGTTTAAAAAATAAACACAATCAATAATGCCAAAAATACATGAGCAGTAAAAAAATAAGTAAATCGAAAATATTTACATCAAAAATGTATTGAACAGTAATGTATACCATCTTCTGGGAATTGACAGCAACAGGTGTAAATAATTTCTCTGTAAAGAAATTGTGAAGTTGTACACTCGATGTGGTTATCCAAATGTTAATATAGGGTTCTTTAACGTGCCGAAACCGCAAAACGATTTGAGTGGATTTTTGCGCTTCAAAAATTCACTCCTCGACTTGATTTGTACCCGCGCATCAGAGTTCAGAAGTCACTTCATAACCACTGAAATATTGAGACAGATGATAATAATTTTAGAGTATATTAAATAACGGACGCCCCTTAAATTAATTTCCTGCGTGGAAATGGTGTTGGCTTCTTACTTTAAATTTACCATTCCGTAAAATGTGACATGAGTAAATATTGCAATGCAACCTATTGTGGTGATTTTTATCCCTTTAGAGCTATAATGAGCCCACCATAAGAAATAAGGCTTTCTCTGCCATGGTCGCAGTGCAGATTCAGAGACCATCGCTCTGTCAACACAAACACCTCCATTTTGTTTCCATTGGGATGTGCTCGTTGCTTTGCGGTTATCGCTAATCTTACCGTACGTCGCTGCTCCAACATAAACACACCGTTAGGTGCGGCGACTCGAGCGCCGGCATGGACGAGGAACCCGAACGTTCAGTTGAGATTGATTGACTGGTTTTTCCGACCACGTCTACTGCTATTGTCACGAGTCCCGTTGGTGTAGGGAATGTTATGTTTACCTGGAGGTGGTAGTGCTCCTCTGCGGCTGTATGATAAGATCCAACTTCGATCTTCACGCCGGCGTACGGGAAATTTCTCTCTCTAGGTACCTCCCCCAGTGAAACACCGTCCAAACAGGGACAACTTATTAGCTCCTGACTGGTCTCCTGACATGAGATAGTGTAGTGCGTGTATAAGTAATGTAATAGGATAAGACTATGTAGGAGGAAAGATAGCATGCGCCCGTGGCCATGACCATGGCCCGTTTATTAGGACACTGCTCCGGCATTTTCCTGGTATATATCAGAGAAACCACGGAAACTACGGAGCAGAGTAGAGCAACAGGTCGCTGCACTTCACTTCCAGTCAGTGATTGGATTCGACGTAGCTAGGATCGGGAAACCGCCACCGTCTCGACTCCTAGGACCTCTGGCTCCTAGACGCTGCAGAGGCGCTACAGCGTCAACTCAACGGGGCTGCTCACCTGCGCTCGAGCGCCTCCTTCTGCGCCTCGAGCAGCTTGGCGGCCTCGCGCTGCGCCATCGCCTCCTCCGCCATCTGCTGCATGCGCTGCTGGTGCGCCGCGTCGCGCACGCGCAGCTGCTCCTCCAAGTTGCTCATCTGCGCGTTCACCTTCTGCACGCGCGCCTCGTCCGCCGTGAGGCGCGTCTCCAGCTCGCGCATGTGCTGGCGCTCGCCCTGCGGTCGGCACGCGTCGCCGTCTCTTTCAACTTCGCACTCCTCGATATTGCAGTACAGAACGTCTCTTAATTCACTCTCACGGTGGGAACTATCGTATGCACGGTAATAATAGATTTGAGGCGTAGTTCTGTCGTATATTTTTATTGTTGCAGAAAGCTTTTTCGTTCGCATTGCTGGTATCTTCTGTGCTACAAGAAATAATTTCCAAATTATAAAGAAAATATTTCATAATTAGAGAATATTAAAAATTAGAATTTAAGCAACTTAGAAAGATTGGAATATAAAATGTGAAAGTGGGAACATATGTGACCTAAAAAGCTTTCGGCAACAATAAAAACGTACGAGAGAATTATGCTTCAAATCTATTATTATGATGCCAGTGTCGTATATTCCACACCATTTCCTACCGTATGCACGGTATGTATAAAGGTCAGTGTTGATTTTCTTGGCAGAGACAGCCTTATAATAACGCGGAAAACACAATTTAATTGCATGATGCAGCAAATATAAACTTTACGGCTGTAGGGAACAGATCAACGCGCCGGGTTACTGTTGTTACCCCGATAACGAAACACAACCATTTAGATGCAGTCAGTGTCAACGTCGCGCTGTTAGCGAGCAACCGTGTGAAGTGGCGGAAATGGAGACGTTCACTATAGACGAATATTGTGATATATGGTCGATATTGGGGGAGTGCTGCGGCAAAGCCAGAGTGGCTGCCACGCGATATATATATGCCACACTCGACGGCTTCCCTCGGGGAACGTGTTGCGGCGCCTCGATGCCCGACTGCGTGCTACGGGAAACGTCCTTCCTCGACCGTGTGCCGACGTCGGAAGGTCGCCCTGCACCGTCGTATTGATCCTACCGAAGTGACAGGTGTTGAAAGCAACGGAGAACGAGCCCACGAGGAATTGACGCGCAAGACTGGCGGCACAGGTACACTTGGTGGTTGCTGTTCTGTCGAAACTTCACAAGCCCCCGTTTCGACTTTTAAGTTGGCTCTGTTTAAGTTTTACTAGCCATTTCACCACAAGCTCAACTTATGACTTTTAAGTAGGTCCTGATTAAGTTCCAGTATCCATTTCTCCAGAAGCTCCCTTTATGACTTTTATGTAGTTGCTGTTTAAGTTTCCCATGTCATTTCGCCAAAGGCCCCCTCATCTACATCTTTTAAATAGCCCCTGATTAAGTTTTCTCAGCCTTTTCCCTCACAAGCATTTCATACGACTTTTAAGTAGGCCTCGATTAGGTTTTCTCAACCTTTTTTCCCCACAAGTTCTTTATACAACTTTTAAGGCCTCGATTAAGTTTCACAAAGATATTTTGCCACTTGTCACTCTTAATTCTTTTCAGTAATCCCTGATAAGAGAGCAAATGTCGATTCGCGTTTCCGTCCGACCTTGAGGTATCCGTCCATGACGGCGAGCTGGTCGGTGACGATGCGGAAGCGCTCGTGCTCGGCCACGGCCTCGTCGGTGGCGGCGCACGCGCGGCGCTCGGCCGCGTGCAGCTCGGCGCGCGCGCCGCTCAGCTGCGCCTCCAGCGCGTGCACGCGCTCGTGCGCCTGCTCCAGCGCCGCCTCCAGCGCCGACACCTGCCGCGGCACCCGCCCTTCTTATTACGAAGCCTTCTTGCAAGGGACAGGGCTCGCGTGGAGCGGCAGGGATTGGAGATGAGGTGGCAGTTAGGGCTGCTGACGCGAAATCCCCATACTGACATTTCCTCCTGAATCTCGTTTGCTTCACTGACACTACAATGTAATGTTATATCATGGGAATATGGATTAAGTAGAGTTCCCTGCTACAGTTAAACCCATATTACATTTACTGTCATCAAGTGACATGTACCGTTCACGTTAAATGACAGGATTGTAAAAAGTAATACCTGCGGAGTATCGTTATTCGATACACGTCTCACGCGAAATTCCCGTACTCGCATTTCTTCCTGAATCTCATTTGCCCCACTAAAGCTACCCACTAACGTGATGTTATATCGTGGGAATATGGAGTTAGTAACGCTGCCTGCCACACTTGGACCCGAATTAAATTTATTGTAATCAAGTGACATGTACCGTTCACGTTAAATGACACGATTGTAAAAGGTAATACCCGCGGAGTTTAGTTATTCGATATACGTCTGTCGTAAGCTTTGCGCCTGCGGACTGAACCAAAACAGGATTCGTATTGTAACCGGCGTGTGTTGCACGCTATGCAAGAACTCTGGCATCTCTTTCTCAAACAAATTACTTACTTTCTTCCAAAATTTTTCACTTTTCTTCTGTGTCTTTTGCGTCTATCGGACTTCAATCGAAAAGTCTGTTTGTATATTACAGAATAAAAAAGTTCATTGAAAAATTAATAAAAATGGAAGTTAAGCTATGTTTTGTTTTGTTTCTGTATGGAATTTCCCATGATCACAATACTACAAAAGTTGAAATATAAAATAATAACGCATGGTAACACTGTTGTTCAGGTGTTGGGACCAAACGACCGCTGTACTACCTTCATCGAGCAAACTATGTCGCCCAAGATGACCTCCATGCCTTTGCACGAGTATTTCCTCTTTCTTCATATTCATTTTACACATTGAGATATAATTAAGAAATACGCTGTGGGCGTACGGTCAATCTCTTCCTCTCGTACCATTATTCCGCGAATTGATAAACACGAGCACTGGCAGCAACGAACACTGGCAAATG